GTGCCAGAACCGAGAAGAGTCTCGACGCATGTCTTCCTTGTGCCCTGAGAGATGGTGGGACCAGTCGAGCAGTGCTAGAGGACCGGAGGGAGCGTGGTGCCACGCGAGGTGTGATAAGAGCTTTGAGATAAGTGGGTGCTGGTCCGTTTTTGGCTTTGTAGGCGAGCATCAGTGTTTTAAATCTGATGCGGGCAGCTACTGGAAGCCAGTGGAGGGAGCGCAGCAGTGGGGTGGTGTGCGAAAATTTAGGAAGGTTGAAAACCAATCGTGCAGCTGCATTTTGAATCAGTTGCAGAGGACGAATGGCACTCAGAGGTAGACCTGCCAGGAGTGAGTTGCAGTAGTCTAGTCTTGAAATGACAAGGGACAAATTTTTACTTCCAGTTATCTCGCATCAACATTTTCCCCTATTTATTGATAGCCTACCTGTCATTATTTTTGTTACTTTTGTTTATAATATTTTGATCAAACCCCTTTTCAACATTTCAGATATCAAATACTCAACTACATCAATGTTAATTACTCTTGGGTTATATGAAGCATTCATTATACAAGTCCCCATGAATAAGCTGTTACTATAGAAACGATAACACTGACTTAGACTGAGTGCACCAGTATAAACCTTTGTCTTGATTTGTCTTGTACCCGAAACTACTGTCAGAGCTGTTGTTATACAAAATCAACACCTTCTGACCAATCAAAATAGAGAAATCAAAGCTATGGTATAAAACATTATTATACTACAATGCATTACTGTCAACATAATGAGTGTCAAGTATGAAATCCACCCACCATTCCCTGGAGTTTAGGAGGGTAAACACACTCTCCAACTAAAAAGGATTTTTATTTGCATTAAAATTCTCACAATCTTTGTGAGTCAAATGCTAATTGTACTACAGTAGGACCTATATGAGGTGTGATATCTGTATGCTGCCCTTGCACAGAACACCTAACCTCCTGCCTGCCTGTGTGTGTGTGTGTGTGTAGGCACGTGTGAATGTTTGTGTTCATCCAACCTCCCAGATCACTGTAGCTGGCCGATTTATCATCCTCATCTCTGATCGCTCCATTTATCATCCTTAGATCACCTCTCTAGCGGACGGGAAGTGTTTATTTTCACTCATTACAGGCCCCTGTCCATGTTTCCTGCGTGCTAGCTGGCTAATCCCAGATCAGTTTCCCTCCAGCGCTTCTGTATTTCCATTTAAATAGCCTAAAACTGCACATTTTGCACTCTGTTATTGCATTACATACCCTTCTGTTCTGACATTTTTGATTAGCAACAGGAAGAGTTAAACAGCTAATATCATAAAGGTGTTATAATAAATAATTTGATGCAATGCATGTTGACAGGGACATGGGAAGGTGTTTTACATGGGGGTTGCTGGAATTTTAAGCAGCATACATGTGGTGTGAGGTACGATGTTACACTTGAATGACAGTCAAATCATTTTTCAAGCTCCTCTGTCCTGAAGACTCGAGTTGCATGGACGTTCTGTAACATTAAATGTAAGCATGATGTGTCATTCATTAATAACTTAGAAATTATCATCTTTGGCAAATTGCTGTGGTATAAAAGGAATACAGCTGTTGCTTTTTCCTGCTGCTTCTGCTTAAGAGATTGCAACGATATTGAGATATTAAGCGTAAGATATAAAGAACCAGAACCTTAACTGAACCCTAAACATCAGATAACTACTCACCCTCTCAGACTGTTTGCTGTCATATGATGAGAGAGGCTAAGTGGTTAAATCACAACAATTTAATCGGATAGAAAAAAAAACATTTCATATGGTGGAATGTGGCTTTTGGCTTTCTTCCCTCTCCGCTTTATTTTATAAATTGCCATATTATTAGTAGATTCCGTCTCTGATTCTTTCATCTAATAAACTGGATGCTCATTGTAGATTAAAAAGCCAAAATATTCTTACATGAACAGTTTTCCTAGGCACCAGACAAATATCATTTCAAATAATGGCCATGATGGCTGGACTTAATGTTAGATGAGAGGCTAAAATCAAATATCTATCAATAACTGGACAATAAAACTATTATGGTTGAACAATGTATTGTATCATGAGGTGTCATTAATGGCATAATAAGAATAATTTAAACACACACACACACACACGCACAGTTTCCTCCAAAAATCAGCAAACATGCTAAACATGGTAAACAAAAAACTCTTTCATTCAAACCAAAAAATGTACATTAAACTTATGATTAGACAATCATAATTAGATTATTGCTTAGTCCCTCTACTTTTAGTTTGTCTTCAAACACATTTTGGGGGAAAAATATGAAAGTAGGAAATAATCCACCTTGTTCATGTTCATTGCACCTTTTCACTCACTGCTGATGACGTGTTACAGATGTGAATAATATCAGCACAAAAAAGAGATCAAATCTGGCTTGACTGTCACCGATGGACTGTATGAATCTACAGTGTGGGCTAGAAAGAAATCAGCCACAGACTCACTATTTCATAGTATTCTGTGTATTTTCTTGTGACCATTGGTGGTGTTGTGGCACGTGCTTCCAAAAAAGTCCACAATAATCCATTTGTTAACATCAAATAATTTGATGTTGATGCCAACAATGAAATTTTATACTGATGTCTTTTTATCTTTGGCCCTGTTCACACCTGATATTAACATCTGGCTTGAGTGATCCGATCACAAGTGGAAAAGCCAAGAGTTGCCCATGATGTGGTTACTTGCATTTAAGGTGTTTACTGCATTTGGAATCTTGGACAATTACAACCAACTGTGTCTAAAGCTTGTGTGTCATTTCAGCTTTGGCTAAACTTGGCCTGGCTGTATATTCTAGTCCGTATCATTCCAGGATACAGTCTCATCAAGGACAAATTATAGGTGTGCTCTGGCAGTCCAATTCAGAGAAGTCCATTTCTGTCATGTGGGCCAAATGGCAGCGGGAAGTGTGGGCCAGCCCTGGGCCATCATTTATTTGCTATCTGGAATCTAGTCCACTATTACACCTGTCTTCAGCAACCTGCTCAAAAATGAAAACTAAAATGTGCTGGCTGCTGAATTCTGCGCTGAAAAATAGCCTGTATCCATAACCCTAGTATACTTTTATACCGGCAGTGCCCTAATTATGCTGTCAGCAATTCGGTGATATAAAAAACACTTTTTTCTACAAGTAAGCACAACACAATAATATGAAGGCTTTCATACCTGATCATTTATAAAAATATACCCACTCTCCCAGTGAATATGATCAACCTCATACTTTTTGTAAAGTGGCCACTACAAGCTCTTCTCAATGGCAGTAAACACATTCCTAAATGGATGATGTGCATTTTCACAACAATGATGTTTACAACATTCTTTTCAAAATGCATTTAATGATACAGTCCAACAAGGCCGGGTTATCCGGGTTATTATATAACTTTCCTGAATGCGCAGCTTTTAAAAGCTCTGTTCGTTACTGAGGATTGGATGTACTGCCTATCCAGGGCAATTGTATTTTTAAAAAATCTTCACTTCCTTCACCATTACTGCACATATTACTGGACTAAATAACTGATGATATCATTGTGTTGAAGTATTGAATAAATTATTTCACTTGACATCTTAGCAAGTGAAAATATCTTGAATATAGTCAATTTATCTAGTATTTTCTAAGATCACAATAAGCCTAATATATAATTATTAAACCTATTTCTAGACATGATTTCTACTAATTTCAAGCTTGAAATAGTCTTGTATTGGTAGATTTTTTAAAATAATTGTAATTGTAAAACAATTGTAAGCTCCAAAATAAAAAACATATTTCTATACAAACTGGCCTGAAATTCATGAAAGAAACATGCGTTTATTTATAGGACTGTAGGTCACATGCTGTACAAACACAGCAAGAAAAATTATCTTAGCAAGATAAAATTTCTTGAATATAGTCAAAATGATCTAGTATTTCCAACAAACCTTACAATACAAGATTAATAAACCTATTTCTAGGCATTATTACTAGTTTCAAGCTTTAAATTTTCTTATTCTATTGGCAGATAATTTTCCTTTTTTTGCTTACAATTAGCAATATTGTCTGCCAATAGAATACTAAATAGAATTTATAAATAAATGTAATAATATAATAAGAAATACTAGATAGATTTTACTATATTCAAGATATTTTCACTTGCTAAGTTGTTATTTTTCTGCAGTGAAGTGCAGTTTAACTGCTGGGGGTCTCCAAAAAAAAATCATTTAATTCATTTTTTTAAAACATTAACTTTTATGTTCATCAGATTCTGACAGTGTGTCCAACGAAATTTTCTGATCTTTTTGGAATGTAACAAACCCAAAAGCTGAATTAAAGCTGATAACATATTATTAGGTGGCTACTGTTGTCAACCGTAATCAATAGTTCCCTGACTGGGGAAAGACAAGAGTCAAGAGTCGTTTATTTGTCATTTGCATTGGCATTGAAATGCTTGTGACAAGGCTCAGATTTTGACATTGACAGTACAAACACTTATTAGACATGAACAAACACATATTTGGACATGAGTGGTCGAGATAAAATAATTTAATTCATAGTTGTTTTGAAAGATAGTTACATATCTTACTCAGGTAGATAGAAAGCGTGCCATAATTTCTGCAGTTTGAGATTAACAATGACCTCAAGCGATGTAGCTGAGGAAGTGTAGAAGATGAGGAGCTGAATAAAGTTGCTATTTGTTGCTATACTTTGTGAATGGAAAAAAAAAAAAAACACTGGAGTTTTTCAGTTTTTTCACTTCAGTGTTCAAGTGTTAGGGTTCACATTTTAAAAAATCTTGTTTAGACCATGCCAACTTCCACTTACAACTTGAATAGAGATACATTTGGCAGATACCATTATCCGGAGTGACTTACATTTGTCATTTTTATACAAGTGAGCAGTTGATAGTTAAGGCCTTGCTCAAGGGCCCAGCAGTGGCAGCAGTGGGGTTTGAACTCACGATCTTTTAGTCAGTATTCCAACACCATAACCACTGAGCTACCACTGTCCAACACGGATATAGATACAGATGCAGATACAGATAGTGGCATTGCATTGCACCCCTATTCTGCACACCGTAAATGAAATGTTGCCTATGGACAAATTGTAAACATCCCAAACAGCATAGATGCCGTCACGTTTTCCTGCAACGACACCTGATTTAAGTGTTGTGGTGAGATATTTCATGTGTAAGATTCCATATAAAAGTTTTATTTCAGTGTTTAAAATGTTACATGAGTATTAGCTTTTGAATGTTTTGTATACTGTGACTCAGAGTGTTTAGCTATGTAGTTAGCTAGCTACTGTATGTTTTGTGAACATGAACTAGCTACATTAGCCTACTAGACTAGGATAGTTATGGAGTTGAAACGTCACTGTTGAAGTCGGGTGTAATTTATGTGTTCACAGTTTATCATATTATAGATTAGACTGTAAGATTTTGTGTTTTATTTACATTTTTATGTCAAAATGCATGCTATTAAGAAAAATTAGATATTGTCCTAAAAATAAACCAAAAATATGTCTCATACGTTCATCAAGCAAGTCTATTTCTGGAGACTATGCACTGTTGGAGTGGTGGCTTCATTGGTTGGGGACTTTGTCACCTGTCTAGGGCTATAATACCTATATCTATGGCAATTATTTAAAAAAAAAAAATCACACACCCTTCTCAGCTATCTGATGGAGGAAGATGAATGGAATGGGGCAGGAACTAAAAATAACCTTTTTTTTGGTTCAGATTTGCAAACAGCAGCTATTTTTGACACTTTTATTTCACCATGATAGCTTTTAGTGACAAAATAACACTAAAGATAATATTATGTCATAATATAAATACGATTTTTTAAAGGATTGTTCATAACCATTAGCAATTGTTGATATTCATTAATGCTTATCTTCATTACTGAAATTGTACTAAACACATAGATACATGCTGGAAAAAAAATAAATAAAATTAGTGCTTATCTTTATTCTTTTAGTGAATGTAAACTGGGTTGTGCCACTACAATTCCATATCAGTAATTTTATCAGTAAAAAACTCCTTTCTCTCTCCTGTGACTTTATTCCACACTTCAGTGTATTCTGATCTCTCACAAGTGGACTTTATCAGGCTGGAAGAGAACAATGCTCCTCTCCAAGGCCCTCTCCCCCTCTCTGTAATTTAGTTTTATAAGAAGTCAGAACAGCTCCATGTCTGTGTTGTTCCTAATGATATAATAGCTCCACACTTCTGCCTCTGCTAGAGGATGTTTACAGCATCTCCTAGAAGCCAAATGAGAAACAGAGTCAATTTTGTTAGCCAAGTAAAATTCACTTGCAGGATTTGATTTGACATTTGTTCTTACAGACACAGATATTGCAAAAATCTGACAAATCCGAAAAGTAAAATATATACAGAATAAAACACTTGTGGAGTGGAGCTACTGTTACTACAGCAAAGTTGAATATTTTCCAGTAATAGCATGTCTCAAAGTGTTTGCTATTTGCCAACAATTTTTTTTTATTAAATTTCTTAAAGACACATTTCTCTTTTTATCCATTTATAGTTACATTTAATGTTGTGGAATGTCTGCAAAACAGGGGTGGGTATCTCATTCATAAGAACGTTCTGTAATTAATGAGTGTTTTCTGAAACCCTTTGTAACTAACGTAGAACATAAACTCATTCTTAAATTAACAAGTAGCCTGACCCATTCGTTAGTCACTTCACAAGTACTTTGTTATTTGGTGCTTGCTTGCAGTTCTACCTCAAAAAGACAGAGGCTGCTAATTTCTATACAAAAATCTTCACAGTTTTATAGCATGCGTCTGATCCAGTGCCCTAGTGTTATCCTGATTAACTTGGTTATCTGCAGCATGTGGGGTAGTTTGTAACGTGGCTACTTCACATCACCAGCGTCTAGGCTTGAACCTCAGCTCGCATAACTGCTTGTGCTGGATTGCATTTTGTTTTTCTTAATCATGTTAGCTGTACAAAAACGAAGCAAACTTACATTTAAAAACTGTTTTCCTCTAAATAAATTCACATAGAACCAACAAGTTAACTTAACAAGTTAAGTGAGACTATGAATCTCTTGAGATGAGATGATGAATTTATGTTGACGTAAAATATTCTATTTGTGTGGAACCGATATACACATTCAAATCAAATAAATTCAATGAACCTTTTGTCATGTAGCTTTCGTACTCCCTTTGGTCATTGTCCTGCCCACTGAAAAAAAAGTTCATTGAATTTACTTGATTCAATTGTGTACATCGATTCCACATGAATGAGCCGATTTGTCTTAACACGGTTTGTTTTTGTACAGCCAATATGACTTGATCATATACAGTACTGTGCAAAAGTCTTAGGCACCCTATTTTTTTTTTTTTTGTACAAACTTTGTTATAGATTTTTATTTTATGACTTCTACATTACTGATTCAGTACAAAAAACATTTTAGATTCCCAAACATTAATTTTCCAGCACAAAATTAAATGTTACAGAAAAAATGTTTGTATGTCAGTAAAGAAAGCAGCAGATTACATAAGAGACACTTTTCAGACAAAAAACATAATGAAGGCTGCTGGGTTTTGCTGCAGAAATAAGAAGCGAGTCGACAGTCAAAGTCTCCAGAAGAACTGCGGCTGCTTCTGCAAGATGCTCAGTAACACTTACAGCTCATTTCCTTATAAAACTGCACAAATTTTTAAAAAGCAAAGGATTGTCACACCAAATATTGACTTTGTTTCATTTATTACTGTTTACTGCTCTTTATAGTATTTTTTTTTAATATAGAAACATTTAATTTCATTATTTTTGAAGGCATCTTTGCTCTACAGCATTCCGTTGCATGTGCCTAAGACTTTTGCACAGTACTGTATATTCAAAACCCTGGAATAAAAATTCAACTCTGTGCAGCCGCCTGAGCTCAGAATCAAACCCAAGACCTGGAACTGTGCAACAGTAATGTTACCCACTACATTACCATGCCGCACATGTCCTTCTTTAAGTTGTTCGTTATGCACTAAGATTCATTGTTATTGGGAAATCCACCCCTGGTTAGTCCCCGCTGGTTCCTGTCCACTTACGTTATAGCAGCTATAAACAGTTGTTCCCTCACCAGCCTCTTTAACTCTCTCGAAGTTAAGACAAAAATCTTTTTATGTATCACATTCACCATACAAGTCCCTGTGAATTTGCTGTTATACATTAACATCAGAATGATCTCATTAACATAGTCTTAGCTGTTGTTGATTAAAAAATATAAATCAGTACCTTCTGACCAATCAGAATTGAGAATTCAACAACTGTATGTACAATGAAAGAAATGAATGGTAGTTTAATATATAACCAGTGCAAGTACGAAAGATTAGAGTGTCTTTTTTTGTGAGGGTTTGCTGAATGTGTTTAATTACACATTGTATTATCTCTCACAAGCCATTTCAGCCTCTGCTTCACTTTATCATATTCTTCTTACACTTTCACATGATTTGACTTATGTCTTTATTGCCTTAAAAGCGAAACTAGTATGAAACATCTGGCCAATAACACTGCAGCTGCCGTGTTCATTTCTCAGTAATTATACTCCTAAGATTTTGACAAAAGCTGCGTGTATGTGTAAATATCGCACCATCACCGAGTTTGATAGTAAATTGTTCCAAGCTGAACTAAAATGACTCAAGCCCTTGAGACGTCAGCGAAAGATCTGCGGCTTTCAGCTCTGGGGAAAAGAGTGAAAATCATTCAGCCACAAAAAATGAGCCACAAAACAACTTCCCTATTTTTGTACCTGAATGCTAGTTACTGCTTAAAAATAAAGTCTAAAATTTGATAATAACATAATAATCGATTGAAGTGAACAAGAAATGCTGTAGAGCAAAGATGCCTGTAAAATAATGAAATTAAATGTTACTACATTTATAAAATAAAGAGTAATAAACAAAAAGTCACTATTTGGTGTGATGACTGTTTGCTTAAAAAATTAGTAGTCTCAGGTGCAGTGTGTGCAGTTTTATAAGGAAATGAGCTGTAAGTGTTACTGAGCATCTTGCAGAAGCAGCCACAGTTCTTCTGGAGACTTTGACTGTCGACTCGCTTCTTATTTCTGCAGCAAAACCCAGCAGCCTTCATTGTGTTTTTTGTCTGAAAAGTGTCTCTTATGTAATACGCTGCTTTCTTTACTGACATACAAACATTTTTCTGTAACATTGAAGTTTGTGCTGGAAAACTATTATGTTTTTAATGAAATCTTTTGGTATTGTACTGTATATTTTAAAGTTTTTGGAGGTTTAAATTTGAGTATGACTGAATATGCTAAAACATTAATAGTCAAAGGTGGATTAAGGTTTCTTTCAAGGATTTTCCATTGTGACTGAGTGAATTGTTTGGTTCCTCTCAAGATTTCTTGCCGATGTCATCTCAGAGAGTTTTTCCTCCCTATTGTCTCCTCTTCCTTGTTAATTCGGGATCTAAATCAACATTGAGTTTTCTGTAAAGCTGCTTTGTCTCAATGTCTATTATTAAAAGTCTTTTCACAAATAAAATTGAATTGAACTGGCCATGGCTTACATGGACATTTTGAGGTTTTAATTTTTTTCAAATCATAGAAAGAAAAACAGTGTACAATACATGGATTTCTATTGCTCTTCTTTGACAAGGCCCAAAGAGGTGTACCAGATAAACACTTATATATTCTTCTTCAGTTATGTATTTTTCATGATTTGTCTGACATTAGAGGCTTATGATATCTGATGCTCCAAGGTTAGAATCAATTCTTGAATATAAAGGTCCAATTACAAAAAAAAAATAAAAAATCAAGTCATTTCATCCAGGATCTAGGATCATCTCTTTTACTGTGACAAACTTTATAACACATGAATTTTACTACAAGTTAAATGTCTGTAGTTCATGCAACTGTATTCAGATACGGTAGGATTTTCACCTTTTAAAAAAAAAAAACAAACTGTAGTATAGCATAAGTTTAACTGTTAATAAGTACCTAAATTACTTTATTTGTTAATAAAT